CGCACTGAGTGGACAAAAGAGTGCTAAATCAAGGGGAGTTCGTTTCTGGTAAGGCCAACAATAGACCGCTGACGAATTAGGGGGCGTCCTAAAGAGATTATTGCATCAGAGAATGATAGGTGCATGGTGAAGTTGTTTGCATTTACAATATACACAGTAGATATAATGTTGGCATACCTCCATGTCACTTTTATGTATTGTGGCAGAATATCTGTGGATAATGTGCTAGTGTAAATTGTAAAAGTACAAAATTGCTCTTAGCAAACAGCAAACAGCTAACCGAATTACTGTTTTCATGTACTTGAAAATTAGTCTGGTCCCAAGCAGGGGACTTGAAAATCTGCCTGAATTTTGCCAGACTTGACAATATCAGCACTGAAAGTGCAATGAATTAATTACCGAACATATGTAAAAGAAAGTTATCGGATTTTTTTGGGACAATGTACTTCCAAAGTTCAGAAAATAAAAGTAACCAAGAGGAGCTATCAGTTTTTTCTTTATTGGTGCACATCTGAAGTAATGCCAATCTGTATATTCTATAGCCCAAATTACACCCATCAATGATACACCAAAATAAAGGAAATTAAGAAACTTTTAAAAAGCTATACCTAATATATACAAAATCTTTTGTAAATGACCAGTATAACCAGCGAGGGAGACAATTGAAATTCTTTTTCTTTAAAAGTCTAACCCTATGCAAAATACGAAAATGTAGAGCGCCACCTTAATAAACGTGATAAGAGAATATCTTCCACAATGTATCGACCATCTTCATTCACTGTCTTCTTCACAACACCGACTTCCAGCTCATTGTTTGCTAGTCTTCCAGAAAGTGGTTCATCTTTCATCGTTTCGTGATCATCTGTGATTAAACTGCCTCAAAATTGGCGGATATGACAGAAAAGACAGCTGTAAATTTTATACATATCGACCTTGATATCAGTCACCGATTGGGCTAAAAGTGCCCAAATTTTACAGTATATTCTTTGCGCAGTAACATAATTGTTTCTCTCCGAGGTTGTTTTTTTTTACGTGATTGTCATTCTTGTTTAGTCACTATCGTCTTATGTATTCATGCCTGGTGAAATATTTACAGTACACATACGTTACTTTAAATATAATTTTGTTTGACCGACAATACGGGCTACATTGACTAGAATGTATAATTTGGATGATATCTTCCTTGTTGTTCACTGAGAGGAGCCAAATTAGAAGGTCACGCCATTATAATAGATTGTCTATTTGCAGATGAATACAGGTTACCAGCAAGAAGAATCTCGCTTTACACAGACCTTCTTTTTACGATTACCATTACAAGGAAGTGAGGAAGAAGCACTGTTTGATTTATTTTGAAATAGCTTTATCTTGTATAGTGTTTACGGATAATATCGTCACTACTCGCTTATAAGTTGGTTTAAACTGTAATGACAAAGATCCAGATCTGTTGAATAAGGGTATTTGTTGTTTGTTCTACTGATTCCTGCTGACAAATTCCGGAGACCCAAATCTGTCGGCGACCTCAGCTCTGAGTCTATGCAGTTTGCAGTTGGATGCGTCTTATGAGGGAATATAGATAGGTGGGGAAGGGGCGTATCCTAGAGTACGTTTCTTTAGAGTTATAGATGGTTAAATTATACCATGGAAACGCTGAAAATGCAAGATCTTTCGATGTCTACTTCGCTTTTACTATAAAATATATGCTATCAAATTCTCAAGATGCAAGTCCGTCGTGTAAACACCAATGTCTGGTTTTTGCTGTGACTCATGAGTTTAGTTTTGTACTTTACTGAACTTGAGAAAAGTATTTTTGTATTTGTCTAATTTCTGACTACACTTGATATGCTTTCATAGCGAAACTCAAAATCGTTTATTTTAGATTAAAAATACGTCTTTATGCTTCTGCATAATGATGACTTGAAACTAAATGTTGACTTTTCTAGTGTATATACAATATAAATGTCTTATATTTACTTATTTAATTTTCATTTGACACTAATTATTCCATTTCCCTACTATCACCTACACCTATAACCAACAATTATACTTACTGAAAAGCACCCACACATACACCTATAGCCAACTCCTATAATTACTGAAAAGCACCCACACCTATGCCTATAACCAACATACTCAAAAGCACTCACACCTGCTAACATGGTGCAAATTCTACCATCAAAACAAAACTTAATAACCCTAAAAGCGAACAACGGCTTAACATTAATGTAAACAAAAGAAACAACCGTATATTTCCTACAGCCCCTATCAGTACATAGACCCAAAGCTGAATGTTAAGAAATGAGAGGATAGTCATGCCTATATGAGAGGATAGTCATGCCTATATGAGAGGATAGTCATGCCTATATGAGAGGATAGTCATGCCTATATGAGAGGATAGTCATGCCTATATGAGAGGATAGTCATGCCTATATAAGAGGATAGTCATGCCTATAGGAGAGGATAGTCATGCCTATATGAGAGGATAGTCATGCCTATATGAGAGGATAGTCATGCCTATATGAGAGGATAGTCATGCCTATATGAGAGGATAGTCATGCCTATATGAGAGGATAGTCATGCCTATATGAGAGGATAGTCATGCCTATATGAGAGGATAGTCGTGCCTATATGAGAGGATAGTCATGCCTATATGAGAGGATAGTCATGCCTATAGTAACATAAAAAACTTACTATCATACTTATATCTTCTTATCATATATATTTGATAAATTTACAACTATCTTTGTTATTTGGGACACGCATCCTCTCAATATGATAATACCATTTTTTTAAAAAGTGTTTAATTTTAATTACGAAAAATTCAAAGTTATCAGAAAATGGAATATTCAAAATCTGTATATAAGTAAATTATGTGCAGGTAGCATAATTTCTCACACATATTGACTGGTAAATTTTGTGGTAATTCCTCATGATTAAAGATTTTATGGATGAGTTAATACTGTCCTCAGGAATAATCTTGTCCAAGGAAAATGTTGGTCAAGTATTTTGCATAAATCACAGCAATATTCCTTTCAAAGAAATTTTTAAAGGTTTAATTTACTCAAAATCAATTTGATCTTCATCTCCATTTTGTATCAAATTTATATTGAACAACTTTGCACTATTCATGTTATCTATTTTCATTTGTTGTTTTTAATATAATTTATTACAGCCTTAGTATATTGTATACATGGTATCGCCTTATCACGATTTTCATGTGTAATATTGTATTGGTTAGCTGTGGTATTTTTCTATGTTTCGTCTTTTTCCCTCTGTGATCAATAAATAACCTAACATATTGATTACCACCTTGACGGATAATCGAAGTTCTACTGTACTTCTCATCTTTTTTCATTTTCCTTATTAACTTCTACCGGAGCTATATCTATTGAAATGTGCTGTATTATAGTATTCATAAATTAAGTGCGATCTAAATTCAATCCATCATTTTGAGTGAAATACTTTCTCATTCAAGTTTGGAGAGTTCTGTTGAAATGCTAGAAATGCGTTTATGGGTGACGAAGTTGAAAGGTACTCAGTCTTTCCTTTTCTGAGAATTTCTTAACGTTCTGTTATACAAATAATTTTCATCGACAAACTTCATCTTTCCAGGCTTTCTGTCTTTGAATTTATTTGAGAGATTCGTGCGTATCATCTTCCTTTTTGTGTTTGCGTTTTCAGACCATGCATATTTTGAGAAGACACCATTGTAAAAATGTATACGCTTAAATTGTTGTGTTTTTCATATGTTTGCATATGAAAGGTGTCCTCCTGCTACTGATCTCTCTCTCTCTCTGTATATATATATATATATATATATATATATATATATATATATATATATATATATATATATATATATATATATATATATATATATATATATATATATATATATATATATACACTGCATATATTGGATCATGACTTTGATGTAATTAGCCGGTAAATGATATAGATCATAAAAATCATTGAGAACTATTTATTTTTCTAACTGATATACATCATTGTGATCACAATGAAATATTTATTTTTTTATTTATTTACTTACTTACTTATTTTAATGAGACACAGTGAGCACTCATAAATATTTTTTTCAATGATACACAACATATTGATCGCAAACTATTTTTCTTAAAACGATAAACATCATACTTATTATACATAAATATTTATGTACTTAAATTATATGCATTAAAATAATCATGTAGTAAAATGCATTTTTTAAATAAAAAAGATCCACATAAGAGTAATCACAAAGAAATATTTATTTGTTTATTAATTATAATGCATATGCATTTGTAAATCATAATCAAGCAGATCAGCACATTTGGACCCTAAGAACGTGATATCATTTTAAGTATACGAGGCAGGTACATTGTCTCCATAATGTTTAGAAGGGCCAAAGGTAGGTGTTGGGGCAAAATTCCAAAGCAAAAACACTATACGTTGGGGTGGGACATAATTGTTTGGTACAAAACTGATCCATACTCAGGATTTTCATCGATGTTAAAATCATACATCATGCAGTGGTTAGAAAGTAGTCTTTTGTTTTACCATATTGAACCGCTGTGAGCGAGCTCCTCTAGTGTTAAAATAAAGATTTTCACTTTCTCAGAAACCTCGATGATGCAAGAATCAGAATGGCCGCTTCTTTACATGTATTCTAATAAAAAAAAAGATCCTGGACAATACGGTGGATATTTACAATAACGCAGTTGGAACAGAAAGAGTGTGACGAACTATATAGTTGGGTTGGAGTGCTTTCAGTATTTTAAAATATTATTGAAGCCACACACAGGCTCCATTTGTTGGAAGTTAAATTTAGTGAAAGACAGATGTAAAGCTCCGACAGCAACGCCGACTTTAGATGGTTAAATATACAAAAATTTTGAAATACAATGAATAACAATTTAATAATAATTCAATAATCAAATGACTCAAATTTCCAGTTACATTCCTTCCGCACGACCCTTTAATAATCCCATTGCATCACTTGATTAGGACCACTCTGATGGCCTAGTGGTTAGAGCGTCCGCCTCGGATGCAGGAGGTCGCGTGTTCGAAACCCGGCAAAGTCATTCCAAAGAATTATAAAAATGGTATTAACAGCTGCTTCGTTTGTTGCTCAGCATTAAGAGGCCAGTTTTAGGACTGGTCGGTCTGATGTCAGAATAATTTGACTAGGTGGGGTATTGCTATAAACTGCCACACTGCGGACATCGTAGCGATATTACTGAAAAATTGTTAAAGCTACAATAAAAATCCAAATCACATATACTCTCTCTCTCTCTCTCTCTCTCTCTCTCTCTCTCTCTCTCACACACACACACACACACACACTGTGTGAGATTGATTTACACCTTGTATTTCTACTCATCTGTTGTATCACTTCCCTCTCTTATTTCTCCCAATTACTTCTACTCTTCCTCTCCGACATCTCTCCAGATTCCTTATCCTCATCCACTTCAACTTTTTCTACACTTCTTCTCCTCTTCCACTTTCTCCAACTTCTGTCGACTTTGACTCTCTCGACTACAGTCTCAATTTCATGTCCAACTCTTGAAGACTTGGGACCCAATGGAACTCGAAGTTCTCTGCCCCCTAAAGGCTTTCTTTTAGAAGCTTTGTCTTAACTTAGAATCTATCTCTAAGTTTTGCCGCCAAATTACGGGCGGCTTCTTTCTCGGAGTATACACTATTGATCTGTAATCCTTCCAGGCGAATACTAAATTTCTTTTCTCGATTTCGGAATAAGTCATTCATGGACTTAATAGTAATCACGCCCTCTTTCTCAATTTGATTGGATATCGCTGTGGACCGATCCAATGAAACTTAGCGGACATGTCACTCTCGCTCTCTGTCAACATGGGGACGGATAAGATCCCCATTCCCATTCACACGGTAAACTTTCCGTTTGATCCTTTAACTAATCTTTAACATATAGTGTTTTAGTGCAAGTATTTGTTAAAGGACACTACAGGTAGTCTTTGCCGACTCAAGTTTACGGTTATGGATGGTATTGGTAACCTTGCGTAAAAGTTAAAAACTAACCCCGCGGAAATCTTTAGAGATCAAACACAAGGCCGCAGTAATATTTCAAAGACAGGTACATTATAGCTTATACATGACTTTATCTGGTTGCTTAGCAAACGTGACACTCTGAAAAAGGTAAGTGGCTCACCTAATGATTATTTATTGTGCAAAAAATATTTGGACGTTGTATACATGCAACAAAATGATTAGCTCATTCAAAAGAAAGCCAAAGTAATAATTAATGAGGAAATTATTCCAAGACAAGTAGGAACATGAATTGCTTTAAATCGACATATTTCAGATCACAAGACTAGTTTTGTGTCACATTGCTGTCGCATAATACAAAACGAGATGATATAAATTTGCCCTATGACCCGAAGTTCTGAAATGCAAAACGTACGAAGCAATTTGAATACCTGGTTGTTAACACCAGCAAAATATGTTAGTTTCACACAGCGTTCAACAACATAAGTCAATTTACAGTTGTTAATATCAATGCAAACTCTTGTGTGGCTTATATTAGATACGTATATGCATGCGTACATGTACTTATATCGATTTAGCTCTTGACACTAATCACGATTTCTCTGTATAGGGCGGCGTATTGTACTGGTGATAATTTTTCTTTTTCGGATAGTTAGACGAACTTTTGTTTGGACTAAAGTTAGAACACTGGCCATGTAAATGCTTCCAAGGTAAATGCTTTGGTGGCCTTGGCTATTATAAACAGACCATCCAGGATAATCATATCAAGCAATAATAACATTGTGCTTGCTAGGTGTAACGTGATAAACAGTACTTGAACTAAAAAGTCGAAATCGAAGCTTGTGCATATGTAGTAGTACAAATAGTGGTTTTTGTTTTAGTTGATATTATTATACAATTTGCATCTGCTAAAAAAGTGTGATCGTCGATATATTTTACCATTGATTTTATTTTGAGAGCCGTCCTTTTCTCTATAGAAGAAGAACGTATTGCAAAACATTCTAATGCATTTCAAATACGGGTTCATTTCAAGTTCTTCAGTATCGAAGTTAAATCACATTTTCTATATATACATTATTTTTTCCATTTAAATTCCACGTTCTCATACAATGCAGCTTTTTGTGAAGAACTCAGATCAGGTGTACCATGTTTTTGTGGGTCTCCTGAGGAAACCGTCTCTTTATTTATCATAATTTTGTTTGCATTCACGTACTGATATGCTGGCATTAAATGTACCGAGTCTTCCAGCGGACGACTTGTCTGTTCTTGCTTAGCCTCACTAGGTGATGTCAGACTTGATGCTTCATGTGGTACACTAATGTATTCGTATTCATCGTCGTTTACGTTAATTGGTTCATAGCCATCTGAGTCTTCAGCTGCGATGTCGTAGTTATCGACATCTCGAAACAACAACGTGTAACCAGACATACCTTCAGGCTCATCGGCGTTTTCAAGCACATATCCAGGGTTACCAGGATTTGGCTTTAGTTGTTTTCCGGCATATTGATCTACAAAGCACTGACCTCCATCCATCGTTTTCGTAAAGACAGACTCCTTCACCGACAGTCTTTGTAATGACTCCTCAGCTTGTAATATGCACCTTCTTACTCCCTGAAAACGGACAGTAAAGTGCTTTTGTGTAAAGAAACACGGAATGACTGGATAATCATAAATAATATTTTTCAATTCATCGCTTAGGATTATGACCTTAGGCCGATATATTTTAATGATATTTACTAATATGGTTAAAAAGCTTTAAACCACTTACTTCTTTACGTGTTATTATCCTTGTAGGTTGAGGACCAGTACCTGAAACATATAGAGAAGATCAATACGTACCATATATGCTCAGATAATTAACGTATGTACTCGATTATAAGCCGAGCTCATCTGGCTCAATGCAGCACAGATCTGGGTCTATGCAGTTTGAAAAGAGTGATCAGTAGAAAAATCAATATAGACCGTTATCTGCCTGCACATTATACGATGGCAGATCAGGGTCTCTGCTGCTTGCAGTTGGACTCGACTTATAAGTGAATATTGACGGTACTATAATAATGACGGTACGGTAATAATTGACAATCCATCTTTAGGAAAACTTACTTATTAGAAATTAAGTACTAAAATTATTATGCATCTATATTTTGTAACAAGAACTGTGGCCGAGTGGTCTAAAGCGCTGACCGTTACGGATCATTGCCATCTCACCTCTGTCTGCGTCTGTTCGAGTCCAGACTCGGCTAACGTGGGTAAGTGAGAAAGCCTGCCAGTAGCTTCTCGTGGGTCGGTAGTTCTTCCCGGGGTTTTCCAGGGTTCTTCCTCCACCATTAATACTGTCCGCAATGTATAGCCTATCTTGTGCTGAAAAATAGCGTTAAACCCTACAACAACAACAACTTTCAAAGTTATTTTGCATGCTAATTGTATAACTTATCGCCACTTTTCAAAAACATAATAAATATATTTTGTTTTGTATTAGACGGAAAACAAATTGACTGGGGACAAAAGAGAGGTATAATACGATATAAGCCCTTTTCTATGACAAATTTTCGAAAGATTGGGCAGAAGATGTTTCCTGCGTCATATGAGTTGGTAATGTTATGTATGAGGGTCACCTTTATACGGAAAATATAAGATAAAATGTTGCTTTGCATAAAAGTGACAAAATAAAGTTTCAATAGACTCGGTGTTTAGGAAGTTTTCATAAATATAGTTTTGCTGAGATGCCAAAACTATTGAGGAGGATGTCTTCCCTAATTGAGTATTCAGTTTTACCATACCCAACTGTCCTGAATATTTTAACAAAAGTAGTTTAAGTGCAGTATGCTTGCATTTTGTGTCCAGTCGGTAATCTTATTGTAAGATCTTTTTCTGCATCAGCACATTTTTGCACATTGGAAACGAGACAAAGTATATTTCTGTTTTACGCTTAGTACCTGTGTGTATATAATAAATTACACATACCTTTCGAACATAGAGGTTTGTCTGGCAGTGTAGAAGCAGAAGGAGAGTCATAGAGAGGGCATGATAGCTTCATCTCTTTTTCATGATCCATTAAGTCGTCTTTAACAGGCGACTGGTCAGAACTTGGAAATTGGAGATAAATTGGAACACATGAAACACTTCCAAACGAGAAAAGGTTTGACTCAATAAAAGTCACAAATTTGAATGTTGGTTTTAAAAAATATTCGTCTAAAAGTTTGTTAGTATTGATGACATCTTTTGACAAGTGAACTGAGAGATTTGAAAAGGTTGGTATAACAGCGATATCATATAACATATTGACTGACTTTTGATGTTCACATCCCATGTATGTTTCAATATTCTCAACAGACAGAATTTCCACTGGTCCAGATAAAGCATTAAAAAGTATATCGTTATCCGCCTCTGAAACTGAAATAAAATCTTTGATTTCAAGTTTGTTGAAAGTTACAGTTTTTGGTAAGGGAAAATTTTCAACTATCTCTTGCAGCGTGTAGTCATTATCATCCGTATTGGCAGTAAAATGACCCTTGCATGTCAACGGTAGATTTAATACTGTGGACTGGCACCTGCATATGAGACCCGCATTCTTCCCCACTTCCTCAGAAGAATTATCGACTTTGATCAAATTTAACTGTAGCCCTCGTGGCAACACATTACATTCCTGTCCATTATCTCTAATAACGGTTAGCTCCTCTTCAACACGAATGCATGGCGGAAAATCTTTGATAACCTGTAATACAAGGATTTATTCGCCTTCTATAAAAATGCAATTCACAATGAGGTAAATAAAATATACTTACTATAGACAAATAATGAATGAAAATAATATTTTCTAGTGAATGTTCTGAAATATGATAATGAAGACGTATATGTCTGAAATACCCTGTTATGCTTTCAGAAAAGTACATGCATAAGAAATGCTGACCAACAGAAATTAATATACGCATGGTGGTAAACGATAATTTTTAAAAACAAATTGTATTTTAAATCTAGTATAGTAACACTAGACATAAGCCCTACAGAGCTCTTGTGCCGATTCCATGTAAATTTTGAACTTATTCGGCACGCAGTCATATGTAG